GAAACTATCACTTGCTTTGAAATGGCAACGGAATCTCGAAAAATAAATGACACTTGGCTTTATTGCATAGCCTAACCAATTAAGAAAGAAAAACCATTATAAACAAAATAATAGATACGGTTCGTTTCGCTCCTTCCTCAGACGAACCTTATTATTTCGTCAATGCCTGGATTTACAGATCGATACAGTGATTCATTTTGCTGCTGACTGCACCTCCACTCGTTGCTACAATGAGACCATCGAGGCGATTGAGAACAACGTCATCGCCTTCATCGAGCTTCTCGAAGTCGTAAAGGAGTATGGGAAGATCAAACGATTCGTTCACATCAGCACCGATGAGGTATGACTTCACGCACCGCAAAACCCTAAGCAAGAATAAAGCAAAAACTCTTAGTCAACCCTTTTACTTATGCGATTAATGATTAATCCACTCATAGGAGAAATTCTATCAAACTTTCAACAGTTTAGGTGTACGGCGATTCCGGACTAGGCGACGATGAGGCGGGAAAAGTTGAAGAAAGTCGACTACTACCAGGAAATCCGTATGCAGCGACAAAGGTTCACTTATATTGATATTGTATGAAACTTTGGGAAAACAGTAGTAAGCCTCTTTTCAGTATACTTTGCATCTCAATAAAGCCATCAAGTCGTAATAAAATACCAAATACATAAATAACTAGAGGTCATTAAACAGTTGTGGAATTAAATGAAATGTCCATTCACAGAGGGAAGGAGGATTTATAGAAAGTTTTCATTCCGTGAAAGAAAATCTGAAACATGGAAATTGTAACCTATTTTAAGATTAACCATTAGTCAGCTGCGACTGGAACCGAATTTATTAATATCGTACAATTTTCGTTGTGAAATTAATTTGGTTCGATTAATTTTATTTTTTCTATCAGCTTAGGTTTGTTTTATTCTTTCAATTCCCATTAGTTTAATTACTAATTGCATTGCCGTGAATATAACCACTGTTTTTGATACTATAATATTTAGATCGCTGGAGAAGCATATATGAGGGCATTCATAGCACAGCACAAGTTACCTATTGTCACGGCCCGAATGAACAACATCTACGGGCCAAATCAGTGGGATGTCAAGGTGAGTGATTTTGTGCAAGGAAAACCTGCATCAGACCTTCTCGTACCTCGATCCCATCGGCTTGCTTTCCCATTCTTGTTCTCAGGTTCTCTTTTGTGATAAATTTCCCCTTTGTTTTTAGTGAAGGGAGGTCGTAGCAGGCGAAAGTCTAAATTGTGTAGTCTCTAGATTTGAATTCTGCACGAAGGGTTCCATTGCTCCTGCTTCTTGGTATTGCCTTTTTTCAGTGCAAATAATCACAAACTTTAAAATCTGTTCGCCCACGTGATTGAGTAGTCTCTACTATGCTTCATAAAACTAATGCAGTACATATTTGAAAAAAAAATAATAATTACTTTATCAATCTATTACTGGTCATTCCCACTTAACTCACTGCCCTTTCCTGCGAGAACTCTCCAATTGGCGTGGAAAGAGTGGACATCCTGTATATTCAGTATGCCTCGCTGTAATAGAGCTAAGGGACACTCCTTTTTTTTCGCTTGGGTGATATTGGGTTGCCGGAATACGTCTTGCCGATTCATATTTCATACTCAAAATAGCATTTTTCGTCTTTGTTCAGTGGAGATTCCATATACAGCCAGAACTATCTGCGAATTAAACAAGTCAGAAATTTGCGGTTCCGAAGTCGCCTCCGGAAGCTATACTGAAATGCTGGGGGCTCCGAAGGTCGAAGCTCGAACAGAAGGTTCCTGAGCTTGCTGAGATAACTGCGGTGGGAAAGCGAGAATTTTAAATGCCCGAGTCGTCAAAATCTCGCTATAATGAGGCGAGGCCGTATGTATAACGGAGAACACATTGCGCTTCGAAGAAGTAAGGGACGGAAACATCGAGCAGTGGGAAGTCTGTACGCGAGAAGCAACGGCAACAGTTACATATATGCGTGTTTGAATTAAAGGATGGGAACACGGCAAAGCGCGCTAAGGCAAAGCGCCTTAGCGCGTTGCCTCGCACTTTTGAGCGCGATAGTGATAGCCCGTAGAATCCGCGTTCGTGCTCTGAAGTGTAAACCATCGAAACAAAATGACCTAAGGAACTCGGGGTTCGGTAATTCAGCCGTTCAACAACATCTCCAATCTCTTTAGAAAGTTTGCACGTTGGTTCAGTGGGGGCCACATCAACTGTCACAACCTTCCTTTTCAGTCGGTAGAGCAATTTTGATCCTTCAAACATCAAGCGACTTTCAAAAGAAGCTGGAACCCCATCTTTTCGTACATTGCGGTCTTAAGTCCTAATTGCCACTTACCCTGGAGCATGGAGATCATCTGAACGCCGAACGGTAGTAGAAAGTCCTTTTTAAAGCAGAGACAGCAGATTTTTCGAGAGGCTGCTCCAAAATTGCTCAGTAGGACAGCTAAGCAATTGTATCGTAGATTACGAATAGTGTATACACTTTAGATTGACATTAGTATTTCCATGGAATTCTTTCAAAAATTTATGGCGTGGCTGAAAGAACATTACCCCTGTGATGGCCCAGTAGTCCTCAACCGATTCCCAGTAACCGTATAACAAGCGTTAATTTGGAAATTGTTGTCATTCAGGTTGTACCGAGGTTCATTGAAATCGCTAAGGTTCGAGGCGAATATACGATTCAAGGTTCTGGAAAACAACTGAGGTATTCCGGTATAGTCACTGCCTTATAGTTATTTATGTCCATATATTTGTATTTTATCCAAAACTTATATTGGGGCGTTGGATTTTAGATGAGAATATTTTCGATTGTAAATTATTAGAAGAACTTCTAACTATTATATGATAAATATGGCAGAGAGCTGATAGATAGCTAAGAAATGAGCAGATTTATACGAAAATTGTTTCTGGAAGAAACGTAGAAAGAATGGATAAACTATAGGAATAATAAAAACAATAAGCTTAGGAATTTACCCATAGTTTGATGGTTTTTCAGATCATGGCTCTATGTAGACGACGCAAGCCGAGGAATTCAACGGGTTTGTGAAAAAGGAAAGATAGGAGAAATCTACAACCTGGGCACGTATTTTGAGAAGAACGGTGAGCTACATACCATGTATGGATATCTATGCTTCCATAGAAAGATTGGCGCTTCCTTGGAAAGCAAGAAGTGTGAACTGGTGGTGCCATGCGGTAAGAATGGTTACCGAAATCCTCCCAGTTCTCCTCCTGGGGTCAGACCACTCCAAATTAGGACATTTATGATTCGCTCTTATCAAGCTCAGGCTTACCCAAGCCTAACCCTGTGCTTAAGCATAAGGAAAATGTGCTAACCTAAACCTGAGCTCAATCTTAGGCTTCAAGGATCGCGCATCTCTGGACCTGATCTAGAAGGAGAACTTAATGCCTTTCCCCAAAATGGTACTGAAAAAATAGTGGAAATACGATAAAGATAGCGTAAAGGAAAGGTAAATGCAAAAGCGACACAAAGATAACACAGAACAAGTAACAAGTACGATGTCGGGAAGAAAGCCCTACGGCACTCTTATTTCAAATTTATTCTCTACTAGAAAGTTCTTGGGTAAAGCCTGGGACAAGCGTATGTATACACTGCGTTCCTAATTATACGTCAAATTTGGTCGCGAATTCGAAAATCAATACAAAATTCCAGGTTGAAAATGCGAAAAAATTTTATTCCTAATTTTTCCAAAAAGCGTCGCTTTTCCATCGTCTCCAAATGATACAGCCACT